ACATGCTGTGTGATCCTCACAGATATATTAGGCAACTAAAGCAATGAAGACTTTACATGCAAGCATGTAACAAAATGCAGTCTAGTCATTATTCCAATTAGGTTAAGTGGCAGTTTAAGGTGGCACACTTGTCACACAGGCTTCCCTTTCCTGTGAGCTTCACTGACCTATGCTGGGACGATGTCGTAGAACACAAATATGCAGGTGGATATTCTGTGACCTGCAGTCTGCAAGCAAACTATACTGACCAAGCGACTGCCGCTTGCCAGTGAAGTTAGTGCCAACTTTTGCAGATAGAGGGTGTCATGGGGTCAGTGTAATGGCTCCCCATAGCTGTTAACCTCGGTTTTCTAGACCAGAGATGCTGCAATACATGGTAAGGCAAATTTGTCCCCATATTTAACTACTTAAGCACTACACCACGAAGGTGTATGGGGAATGGATGTACAGATCCACATTTTCTTGACTTTGGCACTAGCTGGAGGTGGTCACCTTCACGCCCCGGCCGATTTACCCCCAAGAGCCCCCGGGTACCCAATGTATAGGAGGTTGGGTGGACCCCTGAGCTAGTCTGGATGAATTGGAGAAGTGAAAATTCTTGCCCACTGGGACTCGAACTCCGACTCCTCCGTCCTCCTGCCCGCAGCCAGTTGCTATACCGAATGAGCTATCCTGGCTCTCTCTGCACTACATGGTGCTTCCAGAAACTGAAATTTTACCTCCAATTATTGTAATTACAGTTAAAACCAACCTGAACGATCCTCTGTGATAAGGACTGTCATAATCAATACGTCTCCTTTTCGCATCTCGAGAATCCGAACGTGAACGTGATCTGCTACGAGAATGGTTTCTCCTTGAGCGAGGCATCTGGAAAAGGAAAAACAGTTCATGTACTCACTGCTGAACATTGTGCACTGAATTCCACCACACGAGACATGGTACCGGCCATGCAAATTATAACTGCCGTTTTCAGCAACTGAAAACATATAACAAAACATTCCTAATGTTATGAAGTTGAACAGTTACAAAACATTCAATTTACTGCCCACTGATGCAAACACATACCTGACCCATTGCACCTCAGCTAACATTTTACACATAATTCTACTTAGCTTTCCCTTTATGCATATAATTACGTTTAGCTTTCCCCTTATGCGTATCTGACAAGGACCAAAACCCTCAGGAATTCATTACAAATAAATTGTTTGCCTCGGTATTAATACGTATAATAAGAGACGCCATTTTGAACACTCCTCAATGGCTTGCTCAGAAGTTGCGATGAAATCATCGAAGTCTAACATATATCAATTTATAGGTCATAAACGTATTCACTTACAGACAAACGTCTACTTACATTCCTTTTTCTTATATATTTAAGTTTACTCCAAATGAAGTCCACAACGAAACAAAAACAAGACTTGCAACTAAAACCTTCCTTCGCTTCCGCACGTAACGACCAGAACATTGGATCGATGACGATTGCGAACTCGCGTCATCGAGTAAGGGAACAACATGGCAGCGGAAGAGGTATGAAAAATTTATCACACACACTTTTAGGAACGTTTCTGAATGACCCCCAAGGGAATTTTCATCTGTTGTGTACAAATTACCGTTATCTTGTATTTAGTACTATGATTTAATGTACTAAGTTAGCCTATATTATTTAATATATGTTTAGTTTGTTGGACTTTATCCTGCTGGAGATAATGGGAATGGCAAACATACAAAACTCAGGCGGAGTAAAATCTCGGATTGCATTTCATGCATATTAGGCTGTTAGGGAGCTTATCAAATTTTAGCACATCTATTCAAAATGATCGATCTTTCCCCGCCAACATTATGCGCACACACACAACACGAAGCTACCCTACACTGATCACTCCCCCTCCCCCCTCTGAGTCCGGCCTCAAGGACAAAACACGGGTGCAAATATCCCGACTACGAGTCTCAAGGAAATTATGTAAATGTTATCTCTTTGTCTATGTGTGTCAACCCCTTCAATTCGGATTCGAGGTCGAACGTTTCGGAGATCTGCGTCCAGCTTCAGGGAATGATATACTGGATAAACACTGTTGTTCGTGTGTACACACACAAGTTCTCCACCTTCAAGAACAGTCAGTGATCTGTGAATTATTGTGACTAGGCGTAGGTTCTGGATTGATTATTGCATAAGTTGGATGATCGATATTCGTGACTGCAAATACTTACTGTTCTGTACGTTGTACAAAAAAACACTCTTCTAAGTTTTCACGTAATCAGTGTCTTGGTAGCGGCTTGTAACAGTAAAGACTGACTTATTCGGCGTGTCTGTTGGGTACTTAGTAACTTCGGATCGGACAGCACAGAAAACACATTTTCCACAAGCTCCACTACTATTGCGTACGTATCCGTTGCATCGGAAACGTGTTTACCGAGCTGTTGTCTAGCAACGGAATTCTCCTTTGGCTTTGCTATTCCGGCTGTTAGGTGTCATGTCTCAGTATTATAAATCTATGAAATTACTGTCTTAGGCCAACGAAACGTGTTTACCGAGCTGTTGTCTAGCAACGGATTTCTCCTTTGGCTTTGCTATTCCGGCTGTTAGGTGTCATGTCTCAGTATTATAAATCTATGAAATTACTGTCTTAGGCCAACGAAACGTGTTTACCGAGCTGTTGTCTAGCAACGGATTTCTCCTTTGGCTTTGCTATTCCGACTATTAGATGTAATGTCTCAATATTATAAATCTATGAAATTACTCTCTTGGGCCAATGAATGGACACATCTACATTGTTGCCAGCTCGTGACATAACTATAAGCTCGTCCCTAAAATGTTACTAGGGTCTGTTTTCAGCATACTTCAGGTATTCATGCACTAGTGGGAAATGCAGACATGCTGAATTAAAACTTTTCCCACTAGATGGCAGAGGGTATTTGTGACTGTTGCAAAAGCTCTGTGTGTGATGCTGTATCATTAAACAATTAATATATAATTATTAATATACTGTATTAGTTTTATTGAGAAAATGTTGAGTTTGTTTTTCTTAGAAATAATACTTTTCTATCACTTAGATTAACTTCATTTTGCAGAACTTATCCATTATTATTTCTTACTTCTTTTGAAAGTTTGCTTGGTAAAGGTACACCAGATCTGAAAACCACTGATTCTTTTTGTCCCGAGAATATCAATACAACAGGTGCTTAATTTTATGTAAACAGCTTCAGATGACACGTGATTTCTCAATTATGTCATTGGAAAACAATCATTACCAGCATTTATTCACCAATTGTCAAAGCTCTTTTTAATTCCTCTGCATTACATATATTGGGCTCATTTTTGTTCATGTGCTTAGCTATTACTTGCTGATGAAAACAGTAATAAGAACAACAAGTCACATGAAATATCACTCCCCTTCTCCATCCTTTTCCTGGTCCAAAAATATGTGCCATTTCTTTTTACTGTGGTAGTATTACTCTACACTGAAGAGAGTGTCCAAACAATACTATGTTCATGTGTTCATGAACCAGTCAGAATTCTCTTTATGCTGCATGGTAGAATTGTCTGTATAAATATGTGTAGAATACAGAGATGGTCAAAATAAAACTAGCAAGATTTGCACTTATTCATACCAACAACAACATTCAAATGGCACTAATGCTGTTAAGCATGAACTAGTATTAATAATATAATGCCTTACTGCTGTTTTTCTTATCTCACTACATCATTTAGCAGGAGAAAGCGTGCATCTTGTTTGGTACAACTACCATATTACAACATATGACAAGCCTCTCATAATTAAAGTAATCCTCAAAACGATGCTGAACTACTATTTTCTAGTATTTCATTAAATATTTGATCCTGGGGACTGTTTAACAAAGAACAAACTATTATTATTTACCTTTTTGTTCTCTTCTTTTCACCTGTAGACCTGTATTTGGCACTGATATATAAGTACAACGGGAGGGATTTAAAAATATTAACATTCATTTCAGGACATAAAGTTGTTATTATTAGTGTTGTAATTTTTATACATGACACATTTTGCATATTTTCTTACCTACTGTAACAACAACTTGATATCCATTAAAGACATTACAGATTACCAAAATTAGGAGTGATGTTGGTTTGGTAGAATTCAAAAGAAGAGATCTCCATTCTATACAAAATACTAAGTCAAGGATGTAGAGCAAGTTATAAAATAAATTCTTGTTTCCAATACAAATATAAATTATAAATATAGATGCAGACATCTTACATAATACAGTATGTATGACTATTATACTGTTCTGCATACTACAGTCAGTTTAGGTAAGATCAAAGAAATGAGTCTATCTGTAGATGATGTCAGAAATTTTCATTAATTCCTATGGGGAATTATGTTTGATTTCTGCACTTCACTCTCTATCATTTTTCTTTCTGTAACACAACTGCCACATAAATTGAGGAGTACTTATAATTATATCAAAGAAGCATAGCCATTATTAGCAACATTGTTTTTTGTTTCTATAATAGCCGGAAGGTCGCGGGTTCAAGTCCTGATGAGGTCATTGGATTTTTTTTTTTTCAGTTGACCCAATCCTTCCAGCCGCACTAGACCCTGGGGTTTTCTCAGCCTCTAACAGATATGAGTACTAGGAATTAAATAATTTTCCTGGGGAGTAAAGCGCGGCTGGCGTGTAAGGCTGACAACCTTACTGCCATCTTTGAGCCGATTGTCTAGATAGTGTGGGACCCTCAACGTCTCACAACCCTATGGGCCTTCACGGCCTGGTACAGGGATAGTTTTACTTTTAATTATTAAGGAACATTTCAAGAGTTTGCTGTGAGTTTGTAATTTTTTGTTAGTTGGATTTTTTTCAATTGACCTAATCCTTCCGGCCACACTATGGCCCTGAGGTCAGCTTAGCCTCTAACAGAAATGAGTACCAGGAATTAATTAAATAATTTTCCTGGGGAGTAAATCACAGCCAGCGCGTAAGGTTGACAGTCTCACCGCCATCTTTGAGCCGATTGTTGAGATAATGTGGCAACCTCAACATCTCACAACCCTACAGGCCTTCACAGCCTGTTACAGGGATAGCTTAGCTATCATTTATGTTCACTGAGCATGCCTTCTTCTGAATAGTACTTACCTCTTTATTTTTTCACAGTTTTATAGAGTGCTTTTATTTGTTTTATGTTTATAATATCTGTTTATTGTAGTGCATACTTTTCACCTCTTTAATGACTTCAGTTAATCTTTTCAGTAAGTCCAACAGGGAATTGTCATTGTTTTGTTGTTAGTAGAGTGGCTGCCAGCTGCATGTGTAATTTATGTTTACACAATGTTCTGAGTCTTGCAGCTATCCATTCATTATTTTAAAATACCATATTCTCCATTTTGATGAGGAAATTTGAACCTACATAACGGATACTTAATAATTAATATTTGTTCCCAGGTTACATTACTTAGATGTGTTTTAAATTCTTTAGCAGTGCTGCTGTTCATAGGTGTAGTTTGTGTCTCACAATTATGATAAATCTTCACTTCAAAGTAAGATATATATATATATTTTATAACTAGAAAGTTTACCACCATTATCAGGTAATCTGTCACTGGATGTATATAATGCAGTAATTTTGAATGACTGTAGGGAAATCAACTATTGATGTAAGATTAAAAGATCTTCATAGTTAGTTGAGACAGTTTATGGTAACTTTCACTGAGATAATGTCATGACAGATGACAAAGTCTGCTTTAGGTTTATAAAAGTAGTTGTTTAGGAAAAATTCAAAATCATATGTGGTGGCTCTGTGTACAGAGAGGACATGTACATTAGAGAATGTAGATTTCAGTTGAACAGTGTTTTATATTCCATCCATTACTGTTATGTTTTATATCTGTCTAATGAATAATTTTGAATTATTTTTGATAAGACACTTCCTCCTCCTTTCACCAGCTTTTGTCTAGAGTAACTAGATTCTGTTTAGATTAACCTCTGCAATCTCCTGTGCTTTCTTGATGATGATGTAGATGGAAGCAGTCATGTCCTTATATCCACAAGTGTTTCTTCCACTGCAGACAAGATATTGAAACTATGAAGAAGCATACCTCATGCAATCTAGTAAATATACTGGAATAAATATATTGACTGCTGTTGTGAAATAGGAAAACAAAATGTTGATAGGGAGAACTGAATCGCTATTACAAAATTTTAAATTATTTTCTGTTGCTGTGATAGCTTCTAATAGTATGTTCATAGCATAGCACTGACAGTATAAAATATGTACATTACAATTACTCTGTAGCTGTTGTGAATAGTAATATGAATGAATCCAAATCTGTGAACTGTTAATACTTACAATGTTTGTTCTAGTGGGACTGGTCAGTCATCTGAATCACTTTGTCCCTCAGAGGTCTCTTCAAGGCTAATTAATAACAAGGGGATTCACAGTTTTTCTATATTCTACAGTTTCCTGCTTCTCAGCTCTAATGTCTGCCAGAATGTTCTTCACAGTCATTGTTTAACCTACAAAAATGTATATTATGTGTTATATTATGTTACTGGTTTTAAAGTTTCACAGCAATTCACTGTTGCTGCTTATTCTGCTCTTGGGTTTTTGAACCTTATGGAAGTGGGCATTGTTACCAGCAAGATTGCACATGCAGGCAATATGCACCTCCAAAATGTAGGCATGGTGCAAAGATCCAAAAGCAGAATCAGCAGCAATATTATATTATAATTCAGGAAGACTTATTCTATAAATTACATTTCTAATTTAATAGCATGAATCTTTTGAATGTCTCCTATAGAATATTTGCCTGATATTGCCTGTTGTGAAGTAATCACCAATTTTCTTCTTATTAACACATCTCTTCTTCTTCTTCAGTGTAGCTGAAAATAAATGTTTAAACATCAAATTTTATCTTCAAAGATTAAACACATGTTGATCATATGTCAAAATTTATTTTAATAATGGCTGTTAAGGAAAATTTTTTACCTTGTGAACTGCATTTCTGAAATTCCTTCACTGTCACTCAAACTGTAGATTCAGTACAATTATTGTGTTTTCGGACATTATCCATCATCTTGTTTTTGTTTTAAACATACACTGTTTCAGAGACTGAATTCTATCTCTGTCTTTAGGTGGAAACTACTCAGTTGAGTTCAATCAGTAGAGCTAGTTCTATCTCCAGACACCAGCACCAACAGAAGACAGGGTATATAAACCAAGCACAGGATATACCTTCTGTGAGAGTTAAGACAATCATTAAAAACATTAAAAAATTTCCTCACTCATGAGGCCTAGCACATATGTCCATACATTATTTCACAATTATTGTTGTTAAAGTCACAGTACTATCAGAATAGAAGTCATCACTAAAGAGGCAAATTCTCTGTATGATAGCAACATAAAAACATAATTTTCACACATAATCTACACTGGACGGAGTTGTAGTTACTGACTTCTGCTGCGATAATGGCACTCCAGATGGGAGAGATATCCGAGCTGGGTTGATTGATCGAATGATCTAGCAGAGACATGTGGGTGGATTCGTTGCATTTCCTGTATGTGGTCTGTGGTTCAATCTGCAAGACCTTTGCTTCTTTCCAACCTAGTTTGTGGCCTTCTTTGTATGCATGTTAGGTTAATTTTGATTTTTGAAAGAGACCTTGGCTCAGGTATATTTGTGTTCCATAATGCAAACTTCTAGAAGTCTGCTTCTTTTGCCAATTTAACATCTGCCACAGTCACATGGGATATTGTACACATACTACTTCGTCTACTGGGCATCTCCAACCGATCCAGTTTTCATCATTGTCCCAGAGAGTGTATGTTTAGTTTTGAAAGTGGTCCCAACATTGAAACGGTTTCCAGTGTGTCTGAATTTCTTGGAGATACCCTTAACATATGGTATAATGACAATATGATATATATATATATGTTCTTAATTTCGTTGTTGAAATCCTCCTTACTCTGAAATACGACCTTGGCTCGACTGATCAATCTATGACTGACTTTCCTTTTCACATGATGTGTGTGGTTGGAAGTGTGGAAGTGCAGATAACGACCTGTATGAGTAGGTTAATGGTAAAATTTCATGGCCAATTTAGGACCCCTATTCATGACAAAGACGTCCAAGGACAGAAGAGTATCATTAGCTTCAACTTCCATTCCGAATTTCATGGAATGTCTCACGTTGTTGAGGTGGTGAAGAAATTGCTGCAGTCTTGCTGGTCCATGGGCCCAAACCATGAAAAGCGTCGTCGACATAAGTGAGCCATTTAGCGGTTTTGTGGTCTGCTGTATGCAATGCTTTTTCCTCAAAGTGTTCCATAAGGATACTTCTGATCATAAGAGATAGTGAGTTTCCATTGCCATGCCCTCTTCTTGCCGTTAGGTCGTTACCTGCACTTCAAGTCCCTCATATAAACTCCTCTGAAAAATTTATATGCATAAAATATATCTTGGATAACTACGCTACATTGAATGTACAGTTATGAAACCGAGAAAAAGTGGTAAGACTTTGAGCTCAGGAGTATCATCACAAACTCTATTATAAACGATTTCTCGGAGAAAGTAATACGAGGGTTATTCGGAAAGCAATCTCATTTCAGTTTAGGCAACTTATGTATGAGCGGGGGAGAGCTCACGCATTCCAGATAGCGTCACATGACTCGTTACCTTGTAATCCATCACGTAATTGGTCACCTAGTGTTTGTTCTTGTCTCTATAGTGAGTTATGATGTGCCTTGCGATTGATAATCCCGCCAACTGCGAAAATTGCGCTATTATCCACTTTCTTCACGCTAAAAACATGAGGGCTGCGGAAATCCATCTTGACTTACGCGCAATTTACTGCTAAAATATGAGTGAAAGAACTGCAAGACAGTGGTGTAGAATATTCAAAGATGGGCGAACAAATGTTCACGATGAAGAGCGAAGTGGTCGGCCATCTGTAGTGAGTGATGATCTTGTTCAAAGTGTTGACCAACAATTTGTGAAAGACGGCGTTTCGCAATTTCAGAACTTTTGTGTGAATGTTTACAAATTTCACGCACTCTTCTCTACGAGATTATCACATTTAGGCTAGTCTATCACAAGTTTTGCGCATAACGGGTTCCGAAAATGCTCACGGGTGAGCACAAAACGCAGAGAATGGCTTCGGCTTTGACTTTGACTTTGTTTAGAGCGATACCACAAAGATGACGTTGAATTTCTCAGTCACATTGTACAAGTAACAGGTGATGAAACCTGGGTTTTATTTGTGAATGCTGAAACCAAAGGGCAGTCAGAGCAGTGGATGCACACACATTCACCAAACAAGTCGAAAAAGTTTAAAGAAACGTCTGCCAGAAAGCTTATGGCGACTGTTTTCTGGAGCAGGAAAGGAGTACTGATGGTAGAATTCATGTAACAAGGGACCACAATAACGTCAGAAATGTATTGCGAATTACTAAATTTTCTGGGATAATTCATCTGACAGTAAAAAGATATTTACATTGCAAAAGATAATTTTTAGAATCATGATGGTTGTCAAATCCCGTAATTCCTTTAGAGATCTCTTTAAAAGACTACAGATCTTAACTTTGCCTTGTGAATATATACTGTGTATTCATTAACAAACTTCATTACAAATAACGAAGAACATTTTCAGACGAGTGCGGATGTACAGAGTGTACACAAGACACAAACACTATCTTCATAAACCAATTGCTAACTTCTCATGCTTTCAGAAAAACGCATATTATGCTGGGATCACCATTTGTAATAACCTGCCATCTGATCTCAAAGGTCTTATGAATGAAAAGGCACGATTTAAAATAGCACTGAAACGATACTTAAATACACATTCATTCTACTCTATTGATGAATACCTATTGTATAGAAAATAACTTATGTATCTTTAAATAGCCTTGTGTGTAGTCACTGTGTATTCTTGGTTTCTCTTGTGTGAGAACTCCATTGGGTCTGTACATATGTTTTGTATTTATATGACATATTACACATCCTACAGTCCTTTTGACTAACTTTGGGTCCATGTAATGTAATGTAATGTGAAAACTGCATTGGGTCATTCAGAACAAAAAGCGTGGAATGCTGATATCCGGTGTAGTGCGCCTCCATGACAATGTACTTCCGCACATAGCTGCTTGCACTGTAACACTGCTGGAGCTTTTACCTGGGAGTTGTCTGACCATCCTTCTTACAGCCCTGATCTCACCCCGAATGACTATCACCTGTTCATCTACCTGAAAAACTGGTTTTGACCACAGTGCTTGAGTAGTGATGAAGAGTTTTTGGAAGGTGTCAAAACGTGGCTCAGCTCACAGGCGGCAGTAATCTTTGACACAGGCATACAAAAACGTATCCCTGCATAAAACAAGTGCTTCAGTTCCGGCAGTGACTACCTTGAGAAGTAGCTTGAACATGCAAGGACTTTTTGTATACAATAAAACTTTATTTCTCATTGATAGTTCTGTTAACAGCTCACCGGAAGTTACTTTTCCAGTAGCCCTCGTGTTTGGGACGACATGTGGATTTATGGAGTAAATAATAGCCAAATTATAATAATCTTAATCTCGTAAAAATTATTTGTAACCTGAAATTGTTGCATGCTATAGTGGTTACATTTAGCGATCGTGTGATGAGACAATCATAAATGTTAATTTAGGTCTTTGAGTACGATGACAGTGAACAAGGAAATGGTGTTGTAGCATACAGACCCGTTATCAGGCAAAGATCTGGAAACAAACAACGAGACAACAGCCGTTGCTATGCAGCAGTGCGGTAAACAGCCTCTAAAACAATAGAATTACTGTTGGAAACGGTGTTTTCTATTCGGTCGGTGCGAAGATGTTATAAGAGAGACAATTGGGCCGACCCAGTTACGAGACAAACCCATCTTCTCGTTAGAGAGGATGTTACATAAGGACTATTACCGCAAGAGTTCAGTTGGAAAAAGAAACCTCTGGTCGTGGGCGTCAAGAGGTCTGATGCCAAGACGAACCGATTGGCTGTAAACCGCCAGTCTTAAAGTAACGGTGACTTTGACTTTGACCCACTTATGTGTGAGAGAGGGCGCCGCATAAAAACAAGATCGTAACTGCCAAACAGTAATAAATATCTGGTCATGAGTCCCAGGTGGGGCTCGACACCAAGACTTACTGACTGACTGACCGTCAGTTGCAATGTGACTTTGTCTTTGACTTCTGACCCAGTTATGACTCTGACTTTGACTTTGACCCAGTTAGTTGAAAGTTCCCACTTGAAGAGAAAACCAGGAGGTTGGTGTGAAATGGCCGCCAGCCTGGGTTGGTCAGTCAGTTGAGAGTTGAGCTGTGTAAGGGAGCCTGAGAAGAGGTGGCGTTGTAGGTTAGCTAACAGTTCAGCTGTGGAGTGTTAACCAGCTGGTAACGGCGTGGCCACAGAAGCTGAAGAATCTCCATTGCTGAGAGCTGTTAACCAAGCAACGACTAGTGAAGACACTGCAGGCCGCAGAAGACTTAGCCTGTAATGATTTTTGAAGTGTGGAAATCAGCGATAGCACTGTAATTATTCGTAGTTCTGAGTGTTTAGTATAAATGGTCATTAAATCCATTCATCAATCTATACTGCGTCTATAGTCACCCCTAAATCGTGACAAAATAATCAGCGGTCCTGGTCTTTATCACAACTGTCAACAGAGAGTTTAGGCTCTACCTTGTACGGTAGGTACAGAGTCTGTCCTTTGGATCACGATGATAGTTTAAGCCGCTCATTCATTCCCTCATTATATTCTGCCACTAAACGTGAAATTATACTGAATGAAGGGCACAAACAAAAATCTTATTAAGGCAATACACTTGCACCTTTAACTTAAGAAACTCTCATGAACAAAAATATTTTTCAGCAAATGAGATGTGTTCACAGTTAAACTGCGTTCTTGTACATATCCCAAGAGAATAGTCTAAACTCGGAGCATAAAAGCTCGAAGTTACAGTAGGGCACATCTTTGTCCTGTAAAGTTTAATATAATTTTAAAACACTGAGAAACGTATGTGAAATAGAAATAGGCGTACATATAGACACATATCAGAGCAATGCCTGTTTATATTTCACAGCTATAGTAGGGGACATTTCTTTCTTGAGGGTCAAAATTTCACTTCTTTACCTTCAACCGACCAAAATAAATGCCCCCTGTCTGCAATGTCTATATCAATGTCTGGATTTTAAGCAGTGAGACGGACATACAGCTTGCCAATATTGTTTCGAAGAAAGAACACTAAGGTGATGTAGGCCTGCTTTCAGTTTTATACATGTCAAAGAGCTCATATACGATGGGGTACCCAAAAGAAACCGAACTAATTTTTTTTGTGGGCAGAGCTTTCGTAGTACCGCGTTTTGCCGCTATGAGCGCATAGAGCTAATATTCCTGAGTCGATAAGCCGACTACCGTTGCTTCAGAAGGTAAGGACTAGTTTCGGCAGAGTTTATAGTGACAACTGTTTTGTGTGATCGTCGTTTTTGCAATGGGCTGTTTTTCGTGAACAGCGTGCGGCGGTGAAATTATGCTTTTTGCTCGGGAAAAGTGGAACAGAAAATCTTGGAATGTTAAAAACGGCGCACAAGGACGATGCTATGGGGAAAACTCAAGTGTTTGAGTGGTTTTCCCGTTTCAAAAATGGTGAAATGTCAATTGATGACAAACCTCGTTCTGGTCGTCCTTCCACGGCCCGAACACATGAAAATGTTGAAAAAATTCGTGAAATCATCAAGGAAGATCGAC